TTACTTATTTTCGTATTAGAGTAGAGTTTCGAGACTACCAGTAAATCAGTAATATGAGATGTATTCACCTGGATGAGAATAACTTTTGGGAAAGCAACGTAAGACCGATGCGAGTTCGAAACTACAGTCCACCCAGGATGAGAATAACTTTTGGGAAAGCGAGACTATTAATAAGACCGATGCTAGGTCGAAACTGCAGTCCACCCTGTAAAATTCAATGGAAACGTCAGCTCAACTCATATCATTGTGGGACAATTCTACTACCAGTCCTTCATCAACTAATTCAATGGAAACGTCAGCTCTACTCATATCATTGTGGGAAAATTCTACTACCAGTCCTTCATCACCTTTATTCAATGAAACGTCAGCTCAACTCATATCATTGTGGGAAAATTCTACTACCAGTCCTTCATCACCTTAGACGAAATAGGCTGAATACATCTCATAAAATTCATGCCAAAATTCTGAACCGAGCTATATTCTGATTAATTTAAAGGTTCTTTTCGTGGAGAAGGCATAACGGGTTTCTACAATGAACTCTTATAGGCTTGTTCTAATGCTTACAAGATTTTTAGCAATAGAGAAAGGATAAGAGATCTTACATATTTTATCGCCCTTGCAGATAAGGGCGATCTGTATTAACAGGCATTATATGCATCGAGATCATCAATTGACCAAGTCCTATGTCCCTCGCTATAAGGCTAGAGGGATTATTCAAATTTAAGTTTCTGAAGATGTTTTGATTCAAACTAAAAACTGATCCTTAATTAATTCTTCTTCAAAAATGTCACCTCATCGTTTCACGAGAATGCCACCTCCTAAATATTTAAGATTATAGCCCCATTGGACGTTTTAATCCAGAAAATGACTCCAATTAAACCAGAGATGCTTTGCAAGCGGCTACGATGAAAACTATTCAGCTTCTAATCATCAATTTTTTGCGGGGCAAAAGTGAAAGAGCTGCTTGAAGAGATGTGTAAAGTAGGATGGAAAAAATTCCCTTTTTTTGTTTTAGGCAACTATCATCTCTCCACTGAATGACGATTAGCCTTTTAAGACTTAACTTGCCACTTTTATATCACTGCACGTCAGGCTCAAGGAGCTATGAAGATAAGTAATTGATGATTTTGCTCTCGGCAAAGTGAATTTCGAGCTGGGATCTTTAATTTTTGTTGCGTTAGCCATTTCCCCATGCAAATATATAAAAGAAAACCTGTTCATTTTGGAGCATATAGTGTGGTCCCGGAAAACAGAAAAATAGCAAGTATATGGACCACTAAAAGTTAAAAATATAGCATAATGTGGCTGAACACACTGTAGGATATGATAGGACAAAGAAATAGATCGGCCCAGATCAACGGATGGGCGGATATCAAAGGATGGTAATGGGCATGCACATTGACCAGTTTATTCTTTTATTACATTCCAAATCGTTAATGCCAGAGTATATAATCGTCCTTTGCCCTTAATTTCAGGTGTGGCTACCATAAACCAGATGTGAAGGCTTTCCACACCGGAGTAGTAGACGCAGTTAAAATGCAATGAATAACGAAGATATTAAGGTAAAAAATAAAAATAACGAACCAACCTGAGACCCGATTCCCAAAAGCCAGGCGTAGACGCGCCGATTCAACGAAGCATCTCTCCGTAAAAGCGTTGACAACACGGCTACAAACAAATTACCGCGTTCGGCCGGAGACAACTGACAAGCAGGAATAGAATGAAGGGGCAAAGCGAGACAGAGAAAGTCCAGAGCGTCTCTCTGTACCAAAAGTACCGCATCGCACAAAAGACACTGGAGACCGGCAAGCTATGTTCAGGCAACATTGAATAATTAAGAGTAAAGTTAGCACTCCATAAGGCAAATGTGTACCAGCTAAACAAAATAAATAAAATCGCAGATATGAATACCAAGATAGTGTGGCCTTGTGCCTCACTCAATTTGGACTTTGTGGAACGTACCAAGTCTTGCATCCTCTGTCCTAGTATTCGTGATTTCCACCACCGGACCATTAACTTGATATATTACCAGACAGTTCGTCGGCGTCGTCAGTGAGAGGCGCCATCGCCACCACATAGTTACAACTTATCAAGGTGATAAGTAAGGGTAATCCCCTTCACCGATTTTCCGTTCAACTATTGCTACACATGTAAATCACTGTCTAGTTGTATGAAATCTGGCCACCTATGAGCCTTCAATTCCAGTTAGAAGATTTGGAGCCGATGATACTAATGCTTAGGCTTCAACCCATTACCCAGTTATCCTCTTTCTCATCCCTACCCCCATTGTATCTCATTATTTGGGGCCATGAGTCCAGCCTAATTCGGAACCACTGGTATGAAAATACAACCGCTTCCCTTTTCCACTTCTAAATCACGTAAAGCACACTTATCTTGTCTCTCAAGTTGAGAGTCTCTTCTAAACCTAAGTTTCTCGTAATTTGTTCATGTGTACGTTGATTGATATCCACCCCAGTCGGACATGTCATCACTCATCTTGTGTTAAGGCACGCATAAAATGCATACAAGCACACACACGCGCACTGGGGCCCAGCTAATATTGTGCACCCCAGTTCGGTATACACATCCTGAAGAATTTTATAAGGACCTATATCTTTATAGTGTTGGTTCGAACTTGTTTTCGCAACTTGGTCGCAGCGTCATTGAGACCTTGTGGAGCGCACCTAGTCCCGTGTCCTCTGCCATAGTATTCGTGATTTCCAGCATTGGACCATTGGCTGGGTACATTTCCAAATCTTTCGCCGGCATCGTCAGAGGAGCCATCGTAAGCACCGAATTAAAACTTATCAAAGGTCTTCGTATCTACGACCTATATCGTTAGCCTAGCTCCTCTAATGGCGTATAATCTGTATTCTCGTGAACTTTAATTTCCTATCAACCATCCTACAGGAAAGAGGATAGGGGGTCAGATTTCAGACAACCAGGCAGTGATTTTGATGTGTAGCAGTACCGAATTGACAAGCGAGTAGAAAGAAGGGGTTAAATTAATAAGAAGCCCTGCAAAAGTGGTCTAAAACCGGTGTTGAACGTGATTATGCTTCACCAAATCCACTTATAGTGAAACGTTATCAGGCGACATTGGGGGAGACGAGCATATAATTGTTTGAATAGGTAAATGGGCCATATGAAATGGGGTCGGGAGAAAGAGATGCAGCACTAGAAGGTAGGACAAAGACTAAGTCCGAAGCGTGATGTCGCAAAAGTTGAATAGAAAATCAGTCAAGGGGATTACCTTCACTTGTCACTTTGATAAGTTGTAGCTATGTGCTGGCGATGGTGCCTCTCATTGACGATGCCGGCGAAATGTCTGGGAATGTAGCAAGTTAATGGTCCGATACTGGAAATCACGAATACTATGACAGAGGACGCAAGACTAGATAAGTTCCACAAAGTCTCCCTGTTGCTCGAACCAAGTTGGGAAAACGAGGTCAAACCAGAACTATACATATAAGGGAGACTGCAACCAAATATTGTCCCTATGTATGGGTTCTTGGTGGGCCAATATTATTGAGATGATTTCAAGAACCCAAACATAAGGACAATATAACCAAGATATATATAGAATTTAACAGAAATGATAAAATAGACAAAGGTGCCACAGTGGTGATGGAAAAGAAGGAATATAGAGAAAATGGAAAGTATTCTCGGGGAAACTACAACGTATCGAAAACTAACAAAAGATTCAACAGTCAAAATCAGGCGGGCACTGCAAGAAATGCTGGAGGAAATGAATAGGAACGGGGAAATCGACAAATGGACAATGCAAGAGCCCCAGTAGCATACGGTTTGCCGAAGGTACACAAAGAAGGATAACCATTGAGACTGATAATAAACAAAAAACACGGACCAACACATGAATTGGCGAGATTTAACTGCTTTAGATTAAAGAAAGTGAATGACATATCGATTACAGTGAAGAACTCATACGAATTTTGCCAAAGAATCAAAGGCGCAAGGTTGGAAGGAAACGAACTTTTGGTGAGCTTTGATGTACAGTTCATGTACAATAACATCACATAATAAAAAGCACTCACTGCACTACTGGAGACCTAATAAAAAGAGAATGATATCCTGGGCACAGAACAAATGAGTAGTGTCCTTAACTCAATTAATCAACCTAGCAATAAGAACGACCTATTTCACATTCAACGGCCGCATCTATGAGTGAATATTTGGTCTGCCTGTGGGCTCACCATTCCCGCCTAATGTATTCATGGACAAGTTGGAGGAGAACTTCTAACTTTTACCCCAGCAGCCAACAGTAATTATGCGATATTTGGATGAC